TTAAAAGGCATCATCTTGAATTTGGAAAAACTGGGATAGATGCTTGAAAATGAGTTAGCTGCAGGCTTGGTGGGCTCTCAAAAACTGTGACTTTTGTAAAAACTGGCTGCAAGTTGTTGCTGATGTTTCTAATCGACAATTTGGTTCATTTCTAGGTTTTAAGTATAGATCACAATTTCAGTTTCAAAACCTGTGATATGATTAATGAGGCTAAATGTTTCATATTATGTTTGTTTGCCCTACTAAAAAATAGAGGTATATAATGATGATCTAAACAAATTGTTGACGGGTGATTTTTATTATTGGTGAAAACTGAACAAAGAAACAATCTTTGACAAGTTCAAATGGCTTCTGGTGATGAAAGGAACTTGGAGAGAGTCTGGGTTAAATTCACAAGTCTTATCTTCTTGAGATTCTTCCATAAAAGTGAGCTGAGCCCTTCTCTCTGTGGGCTAAGAACAGACCCTTGAAAAACACAGTGATCCCCCCGAATATGACCTCTCCTCCTCTGTACTCTCTTAAGCTTCTTCTGTTACAAGCCAGAGTCTTCAGAGTCCAATATGAAAGTTGTGTTATCAAAGACTGGAGCTGCTAACAGACCCGCAGAGGAGGTGGAGAAGGACAGGCACAGTGGACTGTGAAACCTGAGCTCTCCTTTATCAGAATTATGCATGAGCTTAGAGAAGCAGACCCTTTATAGTCTACAGACGTGGCAGTGAAGGTGACTCGCAGACCTTGTACTGTAGGAAAGACAGTTAGGCAGTGTGGGTTTTTAACTGTAACCTGTGCTTAAACGAGACGACAAATGAAGATGTATTTCCCGTCTCTTCTTTTGTCATCTGTATTCAGCTTGTCTGCTCTAATCACTGCTGTCTATAAAAGCCATGAGTCCATTTGTGGCCTTGTTATTTCCAGAACCCCTCAGTCTGGGGATGTGCTCTTGTTATCGCTTTCTCCTGCTTTTTTTAACCAAGAAGGAAGGATTAAGGGCAAGGATCATCAATTTGTTCTTTTAGTCTCCTGTTCCCTTTATCCCTCGCTGTCATCTCCTGGAAGAAAAAAATGAATTTTTATGCTCCTCGACTATTTGACAATTGATTTGCTGAACAAATTGCGCCCATTGAGAGCTGTATTTGCCATTTTGTGCCATTGTGTTGAATGCACTGAAGAAGTAATGACATGGAAATGGGGAGGAACTGCTTCACCTTAATCCACTAGCACAGCAAGAGACCATCTTGGTTCTTCATGCATTTAGATCTGCAAAAGTACATTTTTGTAATTAGATGTTTTTTCATTTTTCACCATGTTTTCATGTAATCTCTGTACTTTTTGTTGTGTGTCAAGTGCTTAAAGTTATGTGGCAATATAAAACAAGGAAGTGCATCATACTGGAGGATTTCCCATTTAAACTCGAGATAAAAGCATTTTGAGATTGGAGATAATCACCACAACTTTGACGCTTGAGTCAACAAACAATGACACGAGATGTCAGCGCTGCCTCCTCTTCAGTTGCGTTCACTGCTGCCGCAGCACTTTGCTCCACAAAAGGCCACAAGACAGTAGGACAGTACTTTAAAGGTCAGGAATTTTTACACCTGCATATGAGTGCATTGTCCAAACTCTACTAGTTAAGAGATTTTAATCACATAGTTTTAGCTAAGAAACGATATCCAAGTTGCCACGTAAACATGGAAAATACAGGAGAAGGAAGGGAAGGTCTGGGTTAGTTGGTGGGTGTGTTGCAAGCATCCTTCGTGTTTTATCTTATGTTTACATGAACGGAAATATAAGGAGGCGGGGAGATGCCGCAAGTGATTGAGACTCGGGACATACAACGGTCCTCAGTCACTATGGCAACTAGTCACAGCTAGGACACGTCAAGCACTTAAGTAATTAGAAACTGTAACATGTTGTAGAGTCTGTTAGTGGTACGGCGTGTTTGTGTGTCTGTGTGGGTATAGGCTTGTTTTGGCAAAAAATGGTGGAGATAACACTTCGGCTGCTGATACTTATTAACAAAATAAAAGTTCCCAGTGTTTATATCTCCAAAAACAAATACTGCTTTTCTCTGTGCGTGCGTGCGTGCGTGTAGGAAAATGGAAAGGCACTCCCAAAAGGCCCTGGGGCCTAAATACATTCAAAAATACACCATGTTCTTTAACCTCCTAAGACCCAAACTCTTCCATGGCATGCATTTTTAATTTCTCTTTGATATTTGGGCATATTGGGGCCCAATGAATGTAAAAACAAAGAATTACAAGATTTTTCTTTACCTTATTTTTGTTTTTAAGAAAAGTGAGAGCCACATATGAAGATATTCGTTTAAAATGTTGATAGAACAGTAGCAATATAATGTCCTTGTAAGTGGATATCAGGCCCATGTAGAGCAAAATTTAGTATTTTAGTCTAAATAACCCAAAATATGATGTCCACATATGTGGACGCCAGGTCCTATGAGGTTAAATTAGTGGGAGAATGCCTTAAATGCCTTAAACAGCAAGAAAGTGGTTGTTGTAAATTATTTGATGTGACTACTTTCTGGCTTTTTTTTCTTTGGATCTCCCTCTCTCTTAAAGAAAATCCTCCAAACTTAACTTTTGTTCTTAAAACAAACTCTTAAAGAATTGAACAAGAGTGCTACTGAGAAGAAAATTGACTTGAAGCAAGTAGAAATTTTTTCACTTAAGCAAACATAAGCACAAAACATACTCTGTAAGACGGTGAATAAAGCAGTATTAAATGTCAGGAATGATTGGTACTCACAGGAGAGTGAGTGGATTGTCAACTAACCGCAGATATGGTGGTTTGATTCATGTTCTCTCCACATGCCGAAGTGTCTTTGAGCGAATCTGAATCCCGTAAATAGATTAATGAGAAAAGCTCTCTGAAGTCATCTGTAAAGCAACACATTTTAAAATGTGTTCTATAAGTGCAGGAGAGTTAACAGTTTATCTAATTAACTCATTGACACATTACATTTTGGTCACGTTGCACTAATCACCACTGGGGATCGGCTTGTTTAAGGGTCTCTGAGCGCACAATGTGTGGTCTACAGCGTGCAGGAAGAGGAGGCAGAATTCAGCGGGGGCTAATATAGCCAATTTTTACGCCTCAACAGTTTAATCGGGCCGTACTTTCATGTCTTCATAAATTTGAAAAACTCTCCTCACAGAGCTGGTTTCTCTTTGCAAAGATTTGTTTGTGTCCAACTCATACACAGCCCTGTCCGACCTGGTGTGAACTTGAATGTTATGTAACTATGATTGATTACTCATTAAGGAACCATGCCCAGCCTTAATAACACCACTGAATGCAGCACAGCGCCCCAGCGGCTGTTTGTCTCGGTCTCTGATGCAAGCCGAGAACACTTAGTGCGACTCGAGGATCATTATAAAACTTGACTATGCTGAACGCTGGAAATATTTGCCTGTTTTTGCTTGCTGGGTAATGATACAAATATTGTGACTGAATTTGATTTGGAGTTTGGATGGGTGCGTTATACAATCGGCTTGTCCTCCTTTTGTCTTGTGCCAGAGAAACTAGATTTACCAACTTAAAATGCCAAACAGCACATGCTTGCAGGCCCTTGAGATGCTAAGAAATGTAGTGCATTACACTGAGAAGGACCAAGAATCGGGCCTAGTTGATCCTTCCGTATTTGAGTTTTTTCATTTATTTTATCATACATTTGGGGGGGTTATTTTCAAGACGCCCTAGCAGCATGCCTGTAGAAACGGTAGTGTTGTTCTGCTGGTCTGCTGCGTTCACCCAGATTGAACAACAGTCATGTTACAGAGCTTTTTGAAAATTTTCTTTATGTAGTCATCTGAAAAAACAAGTACACTCCATGATTCAGTGGCCTGTGCAACCACCTTTACCAATAATAATAATAACAATAATCTCTCACATAACTATGGAGGACTTCTGGCTCACTGTTCTGTTCAATGTTGGTTCAGCTCCTTAAGATTTGCAGGTACAGCTCTTTAGAGCTCTCTTAAGGTCCCACCACAATATTTTAATGAGGTTGAGATCTGGACTTACTGGATCTGTGCAGCACTTCTTTTATTTTTCAGTCGTGCTGTAGTAGATTTGCTGCTGCTTTCCTGTTTGACCCAATTTTGGCCAAGTTTAGCTGTCGGACAGATGGCCTCACATTTGACTCTAGAATAGTTTGGTTTATAGAGAAGTTCATGGTGACCCGGGGGCCTTCCAGTCCCCAGGTCACATTCAACATGTTGCTATGATGTCTTTGGTCATGGTGCTGTGCATTACGCCTAAATATTTCTACTTTGCTTTTGGTTTTTGTCCAAAGGACATTGTTCCAGAAATCTTGTGGTTTGTTCAGGTGCAGTTTTGCAAACCTACACCATGCTGCTATGTTCTTTTTAGAGAGAAGAGGCTTTAAACATGCAAAACCTTCCAAACAAGTTATACTTGGATTTTCTTTTCTTATTGTACTGTCATGAACATAACATTTAACATTTTGCTCTTTGGGATTTCTCTTAATGCTGTGTAGTCTGACAATTGTGAGAATTTGCTGGAATGTTCACTAGGAAGATTGTGACATTATGTTAAAACTTCTGAACTTCTGCATTTTTTGAGGAATTCAGAACTGATTATCACATGCAGTAAATTAGCAGCACCGAGCTGCTACATACCCTCCTAATTCCTATGGAAGCAGTAATGATGGACTTAATATTTCAGCCCTATGTATCCTTTGAAAACTTTTTAGTTAACAATATTCGGATACCTTCAGGTTTCATGCTGAACGACGTGCTTAGTACAAATTGTCAAAGGTTAGCATACTAAGCTAACCCGGTGAGCAGTGTATTATTGCTAATGCTAACATTACCATGATAATGCTATAATTTCACATATTTCTGTCAGGCAGCTCTTCACTTTGTTGTCTGATTTTAGTATGTACAGTGCACGGACTGGATGGCATTTTTGTATTTCTGAATGTTTTTCACTTACTGGAGCTGTCATTCTATCTTTTACAGAATGAAAAACCTCTGGGTCCTTCAGCAAGCCGGTCCAGCAATATATCAAAGGTGAGCAAAGCACATACAAATGAGAAACATTTGAATAGAAGATGTACAGCCTGGGTCCATCACAGAGAAAAGGGAGCACACTTGTAGACAAGAAGATGACAGTGAGGTGAGCTGTATTTGAAGGTGGAGATTGACAGAGTAGGTAGACATGCACGGGAGTGTAAGCAGCTGATAGATGACCTGCCTCGTTCTCATCACATCGCCACAATCAGAGCCGCCTTTCTGATCAACCTCTGCGACTTCTGTCTTTCTACGTTTTCTCTCTTTCCTTTTATGCTTCATGGCTCCCATAGGTAAAGCTACAGCCTGCATTGAAAATGGCTCTATGGTTTCAGTCTTTTTGTCCCCTCATGAGCCTCTTAGAGGATAAAACCTTTACTTGTGCTAATAGATGTCAGGGTCATTCTGTCACCACGGGAAGGCTCCAGCAATAACATTTGATCCATGAGCTGCTCGCTCTTTAAACATGAGCAAGATGAGAGGTATTGCACCCGAGAGACAAATGCACTGATCGTTTGCAGGATAACGATTATAGTAACAAAAAAGCAGTTTTTCTAAGGCAGTGTGCCACTCCATGTCTGCAGGGGAACAACTGGCTCACATTTACAAAAATATGCCCATTTGATGGCAAATAAATCTGTTATATGTGCCATACCTTGTAGACATTCAACATATCATCTGTAACTTGATATAAAATATATATATATATATTAATGCCACATTTTTTAGCAGTACAACAGACCATTGATCATCCGTGTAAAGGGAAATGTATTTTTACACCTAGAAGCCAATTTGCACCCTAGCCTTAGTTACAATGACTTCTTGCTCTCTAGATAAATCCGGGAGGTGCAGACTTTATAGCGCACTACAGTTGATTGTTATGTCAGTGCAGCGGCAGTGAATACAAAGTCTGTGAACGTTGTACCTAGAGTACGTGCAAACAAAACTTTTTGCAATCCTCAAAGCAAAAACTATAAAGTTATATAATCATATAATAATTTTGATCTGGATTGTTTTCATGTATGATAAGTTTTTAATCTTCCCGTGACTTTTCATAGCTTCTAAGTTACGATACTAAGACTGGCACCACTTTGCCTAGAAACAAGCAGTAAATGGGAAATGCACTTAATCACTCTAAGAGGACAGGGTTACACCACTCTCCTGTCTGCTCTTTAAATATGTCGCTCCAGCCAGCTGTTAGGAAACAACTTGAGTGGTGTTCATCTCATTTTACACTTGAGAAACAGGTTATTTATTCAATGGAGTGTAATTATTTTATTCAGTGTCTGTGGAGAGAGAGCAGTGTCACTCGCTTTCTACACAAATCTCATTCATAAATGGAGGGGTGGATTTCATCAGGTTGCAGATGCAGTCCATTGTCATTGAATGTCCTATATAGATCCCCATTCCTCTGACAAATGTGTTTGTAATGAAATGATAGACATAAAGTCTGAATAAAGCTCTTAACTTTGACAGATTTAATTAATAATCACCGGTCTGTCTGGCAGCTGGTGTTTCCTACTCGTTCCTAAAGGGAAATGCATATGACTGGCAGGTATTAAGTTGGTATAAATTGTTCTCTGGATGGAAAAGCCTGCTGGGAGTCTTCAGAGTTGGAGAGCGAGTCAGATTATGACTGTAAAGGTTGCCCGGTTGAGTCGGTGGACCGTTTTGAGAATCGCAGACAAAGAAATGGTGCAATAATCTTTTGACAGAGACTCCAAGTGAGAAGATTTAGCAGTGGATTATTGTAGGTGGGTAATGTGTTTTCACTAAGACGACATCTCCCTGAGACCACTTTCCCTAGAAGCTGCTTGATGATGATGATTTTATGCATATATGCAGTGTATTTACAAGTTTCCACGCGTTGCAGTTATGACAGCATGAGATGAAAGATGTTCGTATTTGCAGCAGTGACTCGAATGTTCCTCTTTGCAGAAAAAATATCAAATGTAGGTCAACTTAATTTATGTTTGTAAAGCTGAATCTTGGTGAAATGTACATCTGATAAGAGTCACCTTATTCACTGCTGAAGGGGGTTTTGTTTTGTTTTGGGGTTTTTTTGGGGGGGGGGGCTTCTCTGACACTTGTTTTCATTCATTTGCACGTGAGCTCCAGCCACATTCAGAATAAGGACGCCAAAACAAATGTTGAACGGCTTCGCATGGCACGGATTCAAGCCGAATCGCATCAGCTCGAGTCAGACCAAATCAAAAATGAATGCGCTCATATTCGATTGTTGACCTACTTAACAGATTTCTCTCTGTATAAATAACCGCAGCATCGGTCTGAGAGGAATATTTCATAACATCCCCAGCTCGACACAGTCATACAGCCAGAATAATTCGAATGCTACAACATTTAAAGCATTCGTTCATTTTTTTAAAGCACCTGCTCTCGTTTTACACGGATAACCTGGCAGGGATGCGTTTGGCCTTTTTGGCTTTCCCAGTATTTATTTATTTATTTATTTTTTGCTGTTTTCTTGAATCGAACAGCTTTATCCTTTCTGAAGATGACTCAGAAATAAATCTTATTTCTAGCTATCCTGTTGCTCCCCCTGGAATACCTGTCACAAGGAATACACACACCGGGAGAGAGAGATTTATACGATAACAGGAAAACAAGCAGCCAAATATGGCCAGGGGCTCATTTGTTTCATAAAGGTGATATTGCCTCCATCAGTGAACTTGTCATTGAGGGGCGCTGAGCTGTGTGGTCGTGGATATGAAGGTATACGCGTATCCACAACCATAAACTCATCATCTCCCTTGTCGCCGATGCTTGTTTGTTCATCGAGTCCTTTCTTCCATCAAGCCGAGCCTGAGAATCGTGAAAGAAAGGCAGTGCTGAGGGGAGATAATCAACACTTTTTTGTTAAATTTAACCGTTATCGGTGATAAACTTGTCTGAAAAAACAGGGGCTTTTCTGATGTAGGCTGAGGATTGCCTCCTGATTTGGCGTGAGTTGATTTTTCCACTCAGTGAGGTCAGGAGGCTTAGCTGTAGCCCTTTCTCTCTTTAGCACAGTGCCAGGGTGCTGTGTGATGCCTCCTACACTGTTTGGGAAGGAATTATAGTATTACAGTCCTCATAAAGACACAAAGCAGCGACTCACAGCTCAGTGGGCTGCCGCTTATAGTCGGCCAAACATCTGGTGGTGCTCTAGAATTCAAGCTGCTGCAGTTTTGCAGAGTTTTAGGCTCTGTAGCTGCAACATCCAACCTGAATCTGCACCTCTGATCACTAGAAGAGCCTCTCTGTTGGTCTGTTCAGCTTGGCAGACCACAAAGTCAAAACAAGGCACTGAGCCGAGCTACTATTTTGATAAAAATGAAATCGTTTGAGCACATAATTTTTGTGTTCAATCTGGCACATTGCTTATTTCCGAGCATTTCTGCTGAAGCAGGGCCTGGTCCCTGAAAAATGACTGTATGACTGAATGCTGTAAAGTGACACCTGTGGAGGACAGCAATGGAAATGGAAATGAACTTTATCTGAGAGGTTGTCACAGAAGTGGCTCATGTTGTCTGCTGTTTAGAGCTCCTGCTATCATAATTTCTTTAATGGTTTAGTCTTCAGCTTTTTTTTCTAGTTAACTGAATCTTGGTTGTTTTTGGTTTGGGTGTTTTTGGCCTGAAAAATAAATATAAATTAATGCAAAGACTGTTTGATGATGATAATTTATATCTGTTAGCTCTCAGGCTACGTACAGAGAAGGATTATAGGAACTCAACCAAAACAGAAGCTATGGAAATGCACTTGCATACAGTCCAAAAAACCAACAGCGTGTCAAACGGCAGTGATGGAGGCATGCGTAGGTCGAATGCTCAAAGAGAATTTATCAGCGAGATGGGATATGCTTAAAAAAACATCCATCAAGATGTAAAAAAAACCGCACAGATGAGAAGGAAAAAAGCAACAGAAGTTTTTGTCTGACAGAAAGCCGATGCACAAACATGAAACTGCATTACTAGTTGATCTACATATTTCCACACAATGTGTCACGTTACATGTGCTCCACTGCCACAAACCACGTCAGGAAGCTTTAGTCTGCATGGAAAACCCGGCGCTCTTAGAGTTCCTTGCGCTTCAGAAGCTGGAACAAGAAAATGTTGAGCAGTTTTGTTTAAAAAAATATGTTTACGTTGTCATCTAGACATGACACGGTTGTGAAAAAGTTTTGGCATGTACTCTCACACAGCCACACTAAAGAAGTACACACTAAGGAGCCCAAAGTGCAGGTTTATTAGTCAAAAACGTTATTTAGGGAAAATTGGTCTCAAAAGTCATTAGACAGCTGCGTAGCAGTATTTATCAGTATTAGTTAGCATAATTATTTTGACATTTAGGTCACAATTATGGCTTGAAACAGATGTATTTGACTTCTTAGTGTCATAAATTAAACTAGCATCGATGTGAGGTCTGCCTGATGGTCTAACGTGGAAACAAGAGTGCGACTGGTTGAGGTTCTTGGTTCAAGCTGTGTATTATGTCCTAGTCAGTCCAGCAAACCTCCATGTCTGCAGTAGGAGTGAGACACCTTCCAGTCCCCTTTGCTTTGGAAAGGACTCCTTCCTGGACACCTTGCCTTTGGAGATGGACACTATTGTTCATCATGACCACTAATAGTGTAGCCATAGCCCTCATGGGCCACCATTAACCAAAGGGCTGGAGAGAAACCTCATCTACAGTTTGAAGTTTTATTTGGCCTCTTTAGCACTGCCAGTGACTGGCATGTGGTATTGAGCAGGCTGGAACTGGCAGAGAGGTCGTGTGCCGAGTACCAGAAGTGAGCCATGCTAAAGGCAAAGCTGCCGAAGGAGGTAGGATTTGCTCTGCAAAGCTTTTGCATTGCTGAGCATCGTCGGACAGGATTAGAGGAAGTCAATTAGATGAGCTACTGAAGCCTTAGAGAAAGAAACAAGGTGGCTTTGGATTAAGAAGGCACATCCCTGGATAATTGCTACTGGGGTCTGATCAACCGGGACTGGGTTGCCGGGGAGATGGTGTCTGATGTTGACAGTAAACGCCTCATGATCCCAGGTTAGATCACTGAGGATGCTTCTGTTGCTCACTGCAGTAAAATCTACTTTCAACTGGTACAGCATTAATACGGCACGAGATGATAACTGTGGTGTGAGTGAGTGGGTAGTTTCTCCTTCATCACAAGTCATTTATAGTAAACAAAGGCAGGGATGGTGATATTCAATTTAAAACGGAGTGTATTCTCTCATTTTCAGAGCTTGGTGCTGCCACTTTGAAGCCTGTCCAAGACTTGAATAAACCGCACTGATTGCCATTTTTTTTGCAAGCTCACATGAGGGCCCATTGAAACAGATGGATAGGCAAGATTTAAGATAGTCTCGAGTGCCAGAAAAATGATTGGCCAATCAAGTCCATGAGCTTTCCTGCTCCCTCCCGTATAACCTGCTGCTACCAAATCACCCTTATTAAAGCTCTAATGAGTTTGTAGCTTCTCAAAAAAATAAAAATAACACCAAATCTGACAGCATTAGATTTTTAGGGAGGATTGCTTTGGCGTCATACTTGCGTGATTATTTAGTATGCGTGTGTATGACTAGGCCACTCATCTCGTGTTTGAGGTCTCTTATATCTGATGGTGGTGGTTGGATAGCAAGCATTTGCGGCACAGCACAAACCCATCAGCGTATTCAGCTTTGTGGGTATCGCTGCACTGCATGTAATGACACATAAGAGTATTGTATATTGCTGGAGTATAAATTGCACAGCTGGAGGCCCCACTTTATATTAGCAGCATGACCTTGCGACAGCCACGTAGAAGCAAGTGAGTGAGCCAGAGAAAACTATAGAAGTATAAACTGCAGTCGTTGTAGATGGATTAAAGAAGCTCTTGATTAAAAATGGATTTTATCAAATGTTTGCGCAGGGCTGCATGAGAACGTATCTCAGCTGTAATATTCATCGGTTTTATGATTAACCTCCACGAAGGTTATAAACAAAAGCCGAGGCCGAGTTAATCACCTCCTGGCTGCAGCTTCACGTATAATGCGCAGACCTTTTATAATTGTATCGATCTTCTTATCTGAACCACGGGCAAAAAAGATAATAAACCTATTTTCCAAAATGTCAAACACTTTCGGTAAAGTTCATTTTTGTCCTGGGAAATCAAAGTTTGACAAAACATTTCTAGTTTAACTGGTCTGAACTGCATATTGTGCGTCACAATAAAAAAACCTCACTCATAATCAAATTGATATGTTAATAATTGACATGTTAAGCTTCAGATTAGACTACCTGTATATTTTTGGTTACAAACTTTGACACCTCGGGTTAGGTTTGTACAGTTTTAAAGGTCAACAGTGAACTTTTGATTCTTGCCAGCTTCGTTAGGAGTTTCTCAATGGGAGCCAGTGATTCATTGCTCCTTTTAGATTTTAAAGGTTCTACTTGAAAAGGCCCCAGTGGCTACGTCTGTGCAGGTTAAGTCCGTCGAAGAAGGAAGGAGGCAGAGGTAACGACATGCGAGAAATAAGGTGTTTCAGGGATAAGAGAGAGTGCAACAAATACAAAAGGGAATAATTTATGCGTGGCGTGAGAGTGCGTGGAGGGCGGTAGTGCTTGAGGAGAGAGGTTAAATTAGTAGTTATTATAATAATATGAGTTTTTTTTCAGCACTCACAATAAAATAAACAGGTGTTCATTAGGGTGAATGGGAAGTGAGGCTGGATTATATCTAATTAGCACATCAGAGTCAGAGAACCATAACTGAATGGATACGTTTAAGCGCGAATCTGCTTCCTTTCACAGTTTAGAGGTTTCAAAGTGCGACAAGTGTCGGTGGTGCCAAAAGCCAGTTTTCAGCAGTTGTTGAAGTATCATTGCCTCCAGCGTTTTTTTTTATATGTTAAACGGAGGCAGTTATTTACTCATCAAAGCAGGTCCTCACGAGAGAGCTGTTAAGAAAGAGCAGCTGTTTAATAGGACTGTGGAGTCATGCAGGGTTTTAACGGGAAGTTAATCATTATTACCTCAACTACGTTATTGTCTGATCGCTCGAAGACGCAGTGAGTTATCTATTTGCCGAGTTGCACAGAACGTAACTAATAAAGATCCCTATCTGCTTCATTGGTCAGCCCACATTCATATTTCCCACGATGCTTCAGGTAAACTCAGCGTTTCTTGAGTTTCATTTGAGTAACTTTCGGTTTTTGTAGTTTATTGTGGTACTGTCTGCTAAATAATAACGCTTTAATTGTTGTCTCTCATCCACTTCTGTCTGTTCATTTTACATTTATTGGCCAGACTGCTGTCAGAGCACCAAACGGTGACCTTGAACATGAGCTGTTTAAAATAAGAGTCAAATTAAACAAGAAACAGAGGAAATAAAAGATTTAAGCAAATTACATCCCTGAGTAAGCAGTGGAAGAACAGTGACGCGAAACAGGAGGACAGCGTGTTTAAGTGCTTTTGTGTGCAAGTCGGGAAAAAGAAGCGGTACTGCTCATGCACAGACAGATAAACAGGATGAAAGGGCATGGCTGGAAATTGAATTTTCTATTGATTGGTGTCCGGCCGTGAGCTATAAACTTTCCTTTAGTTAGAAATTAAATCAATATGTAATTAGTTTCTTGCTGAAATTACCAGGCTCTCCCCCCCATGTCTTTATGTTAGCAACCCAAACACTGTCTGATCTCATTCTTTATGTATCCGGTCTGAACCTGTCAATATGGGAGACTTTAGGGAATATTATCTGTACTTGAGGGAATATACTCAATCATGTTCTTGTTGAAAGTAGGATGAAAACATCACATTTATGTTGAATGTAAAGCTTAAAAACAACAGAGGTGAAAAAGAGGGTTTCAAAGGCTACAGTGTGGTCTGATACAACTAAATGAATGAGAGCAGTTCTACTTATTTAAAAGGAGCCACACAGTTTGTGTCTCGTCTCACAAGTGAACTCATCTAAGTGAACGTTTTTGGAACACCCAAGTGACGCTACATAATAATAAAATATGATGTAGTAAATAATTTGTGATTCTAAATTGACCCTGGGTGTGAATTACGAATGACTTGTGAATTAGCCAAGCCGGCGACCTGTCCTTGGTGTCCTCCTATGACTCCTGGGAAAGGCTTCAACCCATCTCATAAACCTGAATTGGATAAGTGCACTAAAATAGTTGAATGATCTACCAGGATGATCATCTGATCAATTAGATTTATTATCCTGTGAGACATAAGAGAATATTTTGCAAGTAAAACCCAAGTTGTCATAAAAAAAAGGTTCTTTCAAAATCCGAGGTAAAAGTAATCTTCTTATGTTTGTAAAATAAATATTAGTGAAAGCCTTGATGATGCTGAAGGTGTTTTCATTCTAACAGCATTGCACCTGCAGTGCACGTGTTTAAAAATTATTCTCTGTAGAAGCTGGACATTAATCTGCAGCCTCACGTCCCCCAGCCGTGCCTCGCTCGCCGCCTCGTTCTTCTTAACTCTCGATCGGTCTCATCAGCGCTTCTCTCTTCGCAGCCGCCTGTTGATATTATTTTTTTTTTTTTGCAGATTTCACCTTAAACTAGACAGATTAACTGGCAGCATTGTTTTTTCCCCCTCCCTATCGTCTTGTGCATCAGTACACAACATGCTTTCTCTCTTTGTGTAAAGATCACACCAATGTGCTGATGGGTGCTGGCGCTGATAATTCCGCACCACGCAGAGCCACGGCCGCCACCACGGAAAATACAATCGCCTGTTGATTGATGCAGTATTTATTTAACTGTAGGGTTTCATGCTCTGTCCTAAACTGCCTTTTGTTCTGCGTGTGCTTTGTTTCTCAGGCTGGAAGCCCGACTTCAGTCAACGCTCCGTGCAGTTTCTCGAGGACGTCAGTTTCCCCGTCTAGCCAGGACATCTGCAGGTACCTTTCAGTCTGAATTCATGCCAAGAAATTATATTTGTCCAGGTTGATATGAACACCTGCGTGCAGTAAATGAACTTTATTTATCAGTCTATCAGTGATGAAGTTGCTTATCAGTGGGTGATGTTGGCTTACCTTTTACCCCTGAGTGGCACAATGTCACTGCTGGGAGCAGCCTTAGTTGCAAGCTGCTGTTAAATGGAGTTAATGGTAACATTAATCATCCGGTGTTTATATATCCTATTTTTCAAACTCCTTTATTTTTAAATGCATGATGTCTCTTCCATTTCTCTTTTTTGTCTTTCCCCCTACCTTTTCCTGTTGTCCTCTACCGCTGTTGTCTGTTGCGTGCTCCTTTTTCACACACAAACACGCACAATCACATCATCAGTCAGGATCAGGATACTCAGAAGCAGACAGCAGTGGTTCTTTTGAGTTCTAAGGGTAAAACTTGTCAGGGTTCAGGAGATGTTTCAGTGACCACCCTCTGCACAGACGTCCTACCTGCTTCCAAACACGCCAAACAGCGAGACTGGCTCTCTCTGCTGCGTCCGTCCTCCGTCAGCATCCATTCCAACAACTCGCTCAGGTTTTCGGTGTCTCTGAATGACGTCGGCCAGCGTGTGGACAGTCTTTGCCGAGGTCTGCAGTTTATAGATCGCACGTGCTCTGAGGGAGAGTTGGAGCTGAAGCTCGAGCCCGCTCAGCCTCCTGACTTGGATCGCAGGGCTCACAAACTCAACTGCAAGCTGGCTGCAACGCCCACACAACAGATCCCAAATCCTGGCTTCTCAACGCGCGCCCAGCCCCACCTCGTTCCCTCCTTCACCAACAACTACAAGTACATGTTGGGCATAGCGCCCGCCAGTTGCCTCCCAACTGATCACGGTGTCCTCACCGCTCCTCATTCCAACACCCACCACCACCCCCATAACTCCCCAAGCTCCAATTTTCTTCGTCTCCTCCTTCCCTTCTCTCGATCCTCTACATCAGCCAGCCTGCAATGCTCAGACCTGGGCAGCTACGCCTCCCACCTCCACATCAAGTCCTCCAGTGCCCTGCTGGAAGGTAGCGAGTCAGGCTTGCCCTCTGAGGATTTAGTGGGAGATGACGATGTGTTTGAGGAAGACCAGCCCAGTCCTACTTCAAAAGAAACGGGCCAACCAGCATCTCCAAAAATGGTGACAGTGGCTGCGTCAGTTGGACTTCTAGCTCCAGTGTGCTATATGGAAGGAGACAGCGATCTGGACTGCTGTCCATCCCCTTTGTCAGAGAAAACGGGGCCACTGTCACCTTATTCTCTATTCGGGGACTGCTGCAGGTGGGTGACTGTCTGGACGGCGTAATCCACACCCACCCTTCCTGTGACGTAAAGCCTAGACCACCCCTGTACCGTGACGTGGCAGTGAATCCCAGAGCCCTGTGGAGTAGTGGAGAGCTTCTCATCCCATAGCCTGTATACCCAGAAAATATCTCGTTGTGGTATTTGTAGTCTAAATCCCTGCTCAGAGTCGAGCAGTTACTCAGAAGAACCTGACACGTAGATGCTTTAATTTCCACACACCGCAACACTGTCCACCTCCTCCTCAGCTGTTCCAATTCAACCCTTTTGTGTGTGACACAAATGTGCCGCAAAGTAATTTCATACCATCTAATTTCACTTCACTGTTATCTCAATGTTCTGCTGTGTTTTTCATTGTGCTGCCAAGCTGTGTTTTTAAAATATTTTTTCATTTGTTAGATCGATGAGGCAGTAAAGTGTCGTATATAGGCTGCAAAAAAAAAAAAAAAATCTGATTGATTTTGGCTCATAAGCCTGAGGCTTTGCAGCAGGAATAGAGGGCAATAGGACTATTATGGAATTGATAGAAGGGCAGAGGTTAGCATAGAAAATTTAATAGCACAGAGGAACAGAGTATATGTCTGAGAACTAGTGGAACAGAGAACAATAAATAGCCCGTGTCTGGGTCCACCATCAGTCTTTGTCACATGACCAATTGGATGCTGTCTTACTGCCAGAGCCAGTTCTTATTATAAAGACACATTGTGAGTAACTTTATTACAGACCAGGTCATGGCTGCGAGGTCTCTGCAGATGAGTAGATCTTGCTGGTTGCCAAGAACGGGAATTTTGAGCATTAACTCCTGCTGTCGATATGAAGCGTGGCAGCACTTCACTGGATTAATGAGATCTAAAGGATTTTGAATTATATATGACTCTGTTTGTTGTCACTTTGGCTCTGGTGTGTGCATCTACTGCTTTCCAGATTTACATGTCAGCTGTGGGCCGATGGAGAAACACCAGCTTAGAAGTGGCAAAGTGAAGGCCAGAGATCAAAAGGCAGATTATTGGCTTCAAATAGCCTGGATAGTCTGACTGCACACACACACACACACACACACGCACACACACACACACACACGCGCACACACACACACACAAACACGTTATTCCAGTTCTCTGTCAGGTGGCTTAAAACGTGAGCGCAGCTCTAATGCTGACCTCACCTATGAAAAGTATGTGTGGGAGGTTGTTTGTTTCACAGGTGACTAGTTGGTTAATTATTATCAAACTCCTTTATTGTCAGCAGTTCAGAGAGTAGTGTCAGCTGTGTGAAGGGAGTTGCTTCACTTCCTCATTAGAAATGTCGCCAAGCAGATAAGTGTTTCTCATCTAGACGCATTACAAAATGGCCGGATTTGCTTTGTCATAAAAAGCTTATTTCTTCAAAGAATTCAAACATTCGTATTGATCGCATTTGTATGTTTGCTGGCCCAGGGAACCAAGCTTGACAAGGAAGCATTTGACTTGAAAATTCACCTTTCTCACTTGAAAACTATTTTTATTACAGAGATAAATAAATAAATACATCTTGTGGTCTGGAGCCTGTCCTGGCTGTTGTAGGGCAAGAGTTGGATGGACAGGTTGCATCTGTCTCAGCGCTAGTACAAGAAAAAGACATATCTATGGGCAATTTAGAATTACACTTTAACCAGGTAAGCACGTGTCTTTGGACTGTGGGAGGAAGTCGGAAGTACCAGAGAAAATCCACACAGACACGCGGACAACACGCAAACTCCACTTCGAAAGGTTCTGGCCAGATGTTGTCACACACGCTATGTTCACAAAATTCTAATCAAAGAAAGATGTGTGGTTTTTCAAATGAATAATAACTTGCTTAAGCATGCAAGCACCACAGGAGGCTATCCTGTATAGTTGTAACCGCATGGTTCACCTTTACAGGTACACAAATTCATAAAAGCGTTAGCAAACTACTTTGAACCACATTGTGAACCCGTGTGCAATCATATGCATATTTTTTTCATTTGAATTTGTTTATTTGAAAGGGGCCGTGGATATTAATGAGCATATCAGTGTAAATATGCCAGAGTTATCCTAAAGGCTGCTTTTCATCTGTAGTCGCTGGCAGGTCAGACAAAAAACTGTAAATAAGGAATTAAGCAGGCCGTCAGACAACGTCAAACAATGTAGTCCAGACAACAAATACATCAAATTACAGCATAACATTTCATAGCAAAGAAACAGAACAACAAGTAATATAAAAACTTACAACATTAAAGATGATTGATGTTATTTGTAAAATTAACGATAACTAATCTGATCCCCTTTTAGCCATCGTTTGAGATGAGTTTTAAATGTATTGCAGGTAAAGAGGTCATACATATAGTAACTAGTTATCCGTCCCTTATTTAATCCAAACTTTTTTCCAGTATCCTCACACTCTGCACCATAAATAAGCTTGTTATTTTCTATGCTATGTTGTTTTCAGTGTTGTCTGTTGTTGCGTGCACTGAGAGCAAAGAAACAGCTGGAGCCCAATTCCTTGTATGTGTACACATACTTGGTCAATAAATCTGATTCTCATTCAGATACAGAAGTGCAAAAATATCTTTTTTTGGTAACATCGTTTACAAAATAAGAGACATAAAGACACACACATCAGAACAGTAGGGAGTCAGAGTGTGAGCACAAAATCTTGTTAACACATTTCTGTTTGTGTCCAGTTTTTGATCAGGCTTTAAATAAGGGGTGTATACTCCAAAAATCAGTCCTTCTCAGTCATGCTGCGGCGTTTGCTGCAGGTGCACTAAGCTCCCAGCGTTTGGTTGTTACTGCGATATTTGTGATGTGGGTGTACAACCTTTTCATTACCAAATTGTAGGATTTAATTTCACTTACAGCTTTGAAAGTGTGTCAGCAGAATTCAGCCGAGGGAGCACAGTGACCTTTTCAGATGAGCCTGAACCCCCAGAGCCTGTATTGGCCTTTTTTTTTTTTCCTTAACCATGACCAACCTCCTAACTAAATCACAGCGATTGTAGTCAAGTTTATATTTTCTCCAGTTTTTGTTTCTTTACTTGGACACATATGCATTACTGAATGCATATTTGTGGATTAGGCAAGAACATGCAATGATTTTCAAATAGTTGGCATCGATTTAAAAAAAAAATGTATCAAAAGTTTTAGTTCTTCTATAAACAACTAAATGTAGGATTTAATGACTCAGTCTTAATTTGCAGGGAATTCAAATAACATTGAACTGCAGTGGCTCTAATGTTCAACAAACAGCATTGCAGGGTAGCTTTTAAGCTTTTAAATCTGACAGCATAAAACAGCTAGAGTCTGTGTTATTCCTTAACCTTCCTCCAACAGTTAAATGTCTCCTCAGCAAATTTAATATTCTCTTTGAAGGCAAGCGTGCTCATGCAAAGACAAACGAGTACCCGCTTAAATGATCAGAGACAAGAAAGGAGAAAGAAAAATAAAAGGCGACAGAGAGAGATTGCTTAGCCACTAAAGCCACTAAATTGATCACTGATCAGCATGTCTCTGGCACCGCTTAAACTGCGCAGACTGAAAACAGTCTGAGAGGCAAATACTTCAGATGCCGCACATATCTTCCACAGAAAAATCTATTCAGCAGAAAAGCAAGAGAAGACAGATTAGTGGTGTTAAAATTCATTTGAAAAAAACATACACATACATTTTTGGATGAGGGCAGAATGAGGAATAACTGGAGGGAGGGCAGTGTTTAAGCAACACATCGAGGGAGTGTGGAGTGCAAAAGACTGGCTTCATGCCACCAGAGAAAATTATAAGGAAGCAAAAAAAAAAAAGAGGAACAGGAAGAAAGCGAACGCTTCGGCAGGCATTTGAGCTTGTTTCCTTCTCAGCTTCTGGGGCTTGTGATTTCCTGACTCTGTTTGCTTCTCACATTTTAATGTTGTCATACTCGTACGGCGCCTCTGCCATCTTAAAACTACCGTCAAACAGGGTGTGTTGTGGATGCAAGTGATGCAAATTAAATTTTAACGTCCCACGACGTCCTAAGAGTGCACGGAATGTGCCGCTGCTGACAAAAAGTTAATTTGCCTGCGAATTTCCATGCCTGGGTTATTATGTTAATCTGTTGGAATATATGGATGCGCCTCGTGTTAAATGACGAAGGTGAATGTTGCGTGCTTTATTTGTGAGATTTCTTGTCTTTACTTCTTGCCTCCCTCCGAGGCGGTTCAGCCTGTTGCGGAATCAGGTGAAAGTTCCCTGAATGTCTCAGTGAACAATTCCTTCGCCCTCATCCGCTCGTGTTGTTTACCGATCGCTGCATTTCCACCGCAACTCCATGCGGAGGTGTTGGGATTTTTCTGTGGTTATCTCCTCCCACATAAAAAGAATAATTTGTCAGATCTGTTTATTTCAGCAGGCAGAAATCGTTGATATAAGCACCAAATGATCTACTTCCTCTGGCTTTTCTTTTTTTAAATTGAAATAGAAATACAGTATGTGTGGGATGAGAATCTGCAGTTCATCATCTCGTTATGCATGCAAATGAACACAAACAAAGCAGTCTATCCATAATCAAAAACAACAACAACAAAAAACTTATTCTAGTGATGTTAATTGTGTCTCGCCTTTCCTTTAATCCCCCAGTCCTTATTCCACTTCTTTCACCTCCTCTGCTTAAGAACCTTTGGATATGACCTATTTTTATCCACCTTTGTTCACTTTGTCTTTTAATCTTGTAACACTCTGGCCAGTTCAGCAAAGTCTTGAAATAGACGTCATCTCGTGTGCTCCCTTTTCTAACATGTGTGAACGCATACGTGGGCGTGCATGTGTTCCTTCATGTTGTTATCCTTCCATGAACCAGGATAAAGACAATCCCATCTGAACACCCGGCTCTCTCCGCCTCCTCCTCCTCCACCTCGTCTTCGCCACGCTTTGTTTGCTTGCATCTTCCAGCCCATAAAGACATGCCATTGCTCCTCGCTACCCACTCAGGAGAAGAAAGCATCACAGAAGACGTTCCTGGATTATTGATCTTACTGCCTGTGAAATCTGTAGGGAACAAAATGTATTTGAAAAATAGATTAATAGAACATGTGCCCTGCTTTGTGTATTCTGTACCCATTTAAGGTATTATTTGCTTTTTAAACTACAACACAACACCTTTAACCCCTTTATCTGGCACCCTGGTAGTCTAGAGAAAGACATCAGTCTGACTTTTAATCAATGTCATGTTGTGGTCTAACAAGCAGCCTGATTTTGGTGCTTATTGGTTATTCACTGAGGACTGTAATCTGAAAAACCACAACAAAGTCGATGTCCTGACATTGAAGTCTAAGATCATAATAATTTTCTACTTTCTCAAGTAAGGCGTGGCGTGTGATGTAACCTCCTCTAACCCCTCACTTTGTCCTCTCACCACTAAAACTGACAGATCCTGACTATCGTGCAGGTGAAAGTTTCCACATATTGTGGAGATTTGCTCAGACTGCCCATCAATCTGCCTTACACTGAGTGGAAAGATTCGGACAAATATACTCCTCCTTAGTGTGGATATCTGGCAACGCAGACCAACATCCTCCATCCTGTCAGACAGCATCTGATGTGTGTGATGTTGGAGTGGTGGACTCCTTCAAGTCAGTCTATTGGAAAAGTGATTGGTTCCTCTCACTGACAACAGCCTGTCCAGCAGTCATTAGAGGCAACAGACGTCTAATCCAATGTTCCAGCTGTCGGTGTCTGTACTTGAGGCTTTCCAGGCATCTATGGGGACTGGACACAGCATCACAAACACCTGTTAAAGAGAAACTCCAAGGCACTTCAGCCTTCATCACAGAGTTCGTAGCAGTGCATTGCAGCAATACACAAACAGACGTATTTGTCATGGACTGTCTTACAGTAATTATAAAACTCACATATTTATAACATTTATTAACTCTTGTCTGACAATGAAACTCAGTGCTGTACAGCTACAGAGTGAAATGACAATTAAAAGTGTTCAGTTTTGCACGGAAACACAAAAAAAGGCAGGAGATCAGTTTCTCAAAATGTTGTTTGGACTTGCAAATGAATCAATTTAGTTTGTCTTTACTGGGTTTACTCATGTGGGACATGTATTGTCTGCTGTGACAAGGGTGTTAATTTTGTTTTCTCTGTTTGTGAAATCATATTCTCACCTGTTTACTTAAAGCTGTTGTAGGTGTGGAAAAATCAGTTGCATATTGTGCTCTTGGCGGTGCTACTCCAGCTTTGCAGTCTTATATTACACAACTCCCAAGTTTTCTCGGATTTGGAGAAATGTGTGTCGCCTTCACTTGCCAACTTTTCCCTTTTTGATCTTTCCCCTCTCTCCCATCTTGCTCCTGATACTAGCTGTCTAGCCTGTAGCTTAGTGTTGACTGTATTCTCTGCCTCCCGCAGGATTTGTCACTGCGAAGGGGATGACGAGAGCCCTCTGATCACACCATGCCACTGCACAGGGAGCTTGCGCTTTGTCCACCAGTCCTGTCTACAGCAGTGGATCAAGAGCTCTGACACTCGTTGCTGTGAGCTGTGTAAATACGAGTTCATCATGGAGACTAAACTCAAACCACTGCGCAAGGTAAGCTGGTTAGGTGTGTGCATATTTGGCTGTTGAGCAGTTCAGCCTCAGTTATTAAAGTCACGGTCTTGTCTCTGCATCCTAACTTAGCTCACATCACTCCTTTGTTGTGAAGTGAAAAATACCAAAAAACTATCTCCAGTCTTGTCGTGCAGACACAAGAGCACAATAAGCCATTTTCATAAGCAAACCACTTGTCCGGGTGGTTGTGATCCCTTTCAGTGGTTTAGAGGCAGTCCACGTTCCTGAAAGGCTCTTATCAATCACTGTGGCCTGAAGATAGCAGGACACTCTAATTAAAATTCCTCCACCCTTCATTAGCTGCACAAAAGGCCTTAAACAAATGCTCCGCTGTTAATAGCTTCCGAATCCCATGGGTGAATATTGAAGTTGTTCATGTGTGAGTGCACAAGGAAATTTGAGATGAGAGGCGGATGTTGTTGTCAATATGAAAGTTTTTATTAAAGAGTGCTTGATGTCATGTTGTTCGGCAACACCCGCGTCTTATTAAAGTGACCCTGCAATTATTCATCACTGAATTCATTATTATGGATTTGGATGTTTGGGAAAGCTACACAAAGCTATCTGACAGTACAGATATCATATGATTTCTTTTTAGTGCTGGGCAGATTTCTGGCATTTATTTTAGTGCAGCCAATGATTGACCAGGTGCTCCACAGTTATCTGAGCTTCCTGGCAGGTAGCAGGGTATATCACCTGGATGCTGCATGCCATGCTCTTCTCTATCTCATTAACCCTGCCAAGAAGCATTGTGTAACACTGGATTTTGGTGACAGGAGCTGAATAAAAAAGGCCTTTATGGTACCGTCACATCTGGGAAAAACAGTAGGTGAAGACTGCAGCACAACCAAAATTTATTGCGATTGTGTGCAATGAACTTGCAATCTTGTGGCTGTCGAAATGGCTGCTCTGAAGACTGGGACCAGGTCGGCAACCAGTTGCAATCAGTTGCCATCTTCGAAGTGATAAAACTCCAATAAGCATGGGATCAATGGGATCAAGCTGCCTATTGCATGCAATCTATATGTATTAATACGGCAATTAACCAAATCTGCTGCTGTCTACATACACAGAAATTCAAACACGAAAACGCTTAGATCTGAAACAGAAATTCCTCCACAAACAGCGTCTCGATGTTATACAGGAGTATAGCCAGAATGCAACCAGTCGAGTCCTCTGCTGCTAAGTGATCAGATTCAGGCGAGTTGTGCTCATCCATGCAGACCGACTCAGATTATAAATAATACAGCAGTGATTTGCAGACCTTCACCAGCCTGTGATTGCAGTCAGCCTGAGTCAGATCGTGATTGTTGGGAGACGAGTTGCCTTGTCAACAGTTCTTTGCCCAGAAGTTAAAGGTGTTACTTGATAAACCTCTGGGCAACCACTTGTTTCTAACCACAAGGAGGCTATCACCCTGATTTTAGTGTTTCAAACATAAACTGTCTATAAAAGATGGATGATGCCACCTTCACCTCCCTTAACTTTGCCATTAAGGCTGCCGTCCTGTTTTTTTGTGGTTGTTTATTTGTTGTTTTGTTTTATTTTGAATGGCCTTGCATAAGTAGCCACATTTAGATTAAAGGGTAGAGTGCTGTCATCTTATGCTAGCAAGCCTTTTTAGCAGGCGGCATTCATCAGTTGTGGAGGTGCAATACAGAGACGTATATATCTGCTAATTGGTGCTAACTAACAGACTAATCAAAGGAAATAGAATTTCACTAACCAAAGCTGGAACATGAACATTTCAGACAGACTGTCTGTAGAGATGAAAACAGTTTTTGTAGCAGAATGGAAACATGTTTTTATGACTGAAATTTGGCATTTCAGTGTAGGAGTTTTAGGGGATTGGCTCACTTTGGACTCGACTTGCCATTAGAGGAATTTGCTCTTCAGCTTCAGTTTTGAGCCATAGAGGTTCTGCTTAGTTTGAAAGCATGTTCCTTTTTTATTTTTATTTTTTTAAATGTGTGTGAATATGCTCAAAAGTTTTCCATCTTTGGCAGTGGGAGAAACTACAGATGACAGCGAGCGAGAGAAGAAAGATCATGTGTTCAGTCACCTTCCACATCATCGCCATCACCTGTGTGGTGTGGTCCCTCTACGTTCTCATCGACAGAACAGCAGAGGAAATCAAATCAGGTCAGCACTGACTCTCACGCACACAAACAAACACTAAAACATTAATACAACATCGTCTGTGGTACATGTTTGTTCTGGATGTTATCTATTCATCCACAATTGTCTCCAAGTTGTGACTAGCACTCAATATAATATCTGTATAACTGTAGAGTTATCTCAATGGTGTGTTTACAGTCAGTGTAAAATACGCTTTAAAACTGGTATATATGTGGGCGTTAACTGACAGGCAGAGACTCAATGGGAATCAAAGTTACAGCTGGGGCTGAATAAATGCTTAGAAGAGTTTCCTCTGTGCTTTAAGTTCACTTTGATTCCAGAGGCGTAGTTAAAAATATTCATCTCATTCTTTGACACTTTTAGAGATTGTTTTAGCAAAGTGAGGCAATTTTTTTTTTAAGTGATGCTGTTTTTGTGTGTCGAAGGTTAGTTTGTGGTTAATCTGACTGTAAAAGAAAAACTGTACTCAGCAAAATAACCAGACAGGAATAGTGTGCAAAGTCTGGAATTTTTTAGCATATATGTGTGATGCGAGTGGTGTGACAGCTGTGTGACAGCAGCAGTTAGTATGAGTTTGGCACATGCATGTTTGTGGCAAAAAATTGGATGCAACAGCTGACTACACATCACACGCAATGCTTTACGTCACTGAAGTGACAAGGATAGGGAAAGGATTTACCGTAGGGTGATTTTTCTTATGAACTTCTTTTTGCAAGCACAGGAGTCGACCACTGTCGGCCACTAGAAAGACGGTACTTGTGCGTTGCCCTTATTTTTCATAGCTCATACATATTTTTCTTTAAATACTAGTATAGACCCATGCTACAGTATTGTTTGGCCTGTCCATATTGTTGTTGGTAAAATGAGAATAATGTGACACTTTAAATGGCTGTTTTTTATCCCATTGGTGGGTGGTTGCTTGGCAACATGATGACGTTATAATATGCCATGTATAAGTTGACTTTTAGGAGTATAATTTTTTTTAAATTGATGTAAAATGAAAACGACAAGATATTTTCTTGAGGTGTCATAGGTACATAATCAAGTGACTTTAGCCTGTTGCTAGGAGGTGCCAGACAGCCTGATGACATCATAATATTTGAAATAGATAAAAACCTTTAGGCTGTGTGTAGGAGAATTTGGAGGCCTGCTTATTTATCATTATGAAGCATATCTGTCTATCTACATTTGCTGAATTCAGTCTTTATTGCAGGTTATTTACATATTCAAAAGGCTTCAGCTTCAGACCTGGTAGCTACAGCCTTTTTTATATACAGTCTATGGACTTAGATAACTTATTATTCTGCTATTTTAGACTGGAAACGGCTAGCACAGCTATATCCAAATGTAAACAAAATGTGCCTGGTTTTTACTCTTGTGTTTGACGAGCACATCAAAGTGTAAAAAATATATAATGAGTGCTGGACTATTCATGAATGGGCACAGCATATTTTGGGGACTCTCAGGAAAGCTCAAAAGGGACCGTTGATCTGAACACATCAAAATGACAAACAAATAAGTGAGTTTGTGGTGCTTATAGTGTGATTTTGTTACTTTTGAGGAAAGCTAACTGGCCACTCATGCTTTATGTAGCTTACAAACATGAGTGGTATTGATCTGAAATACAATTCCTTCAAGGTGTGCAGTTTTCTGAGCACAGCATTTATGTTTACATTTGTATATTTATTGAAAAGGGTGACTGCTTTCTTCCATCACAATATTTCAGATTTTGCCTCTAGCTTTTTCCATTTTTTTGTGTGTGCCAAACTGGTACCTGCTGCTGGCTATAGTAAAAATGTCCAATAAGCGGGGCTTTATGGTTTTTCATTCAAATCTCAGAATAAGAGGAAAATAACACTGGGCTGCCCGAGCTGCTTCTTACAGCCATAAAAAGTGGGCATCCACTTTGGGCTCCCATCATCAGGGATAAAAATGGAGAATTCTCCTGTAATGGTGACTTGTTGTAGCATCAGCTGGCACTACCTCTGCTGCTACTCATCCCTCCCTGGCATATTTGGCACTTTCAAAACTGTGTACAGATGGAAGAGCAGGCTGTGCCTGTTAAGCCCAACCTGATGATTCAGACTTGCTACAGTCCCTGAGGGCTGTCAGGTCCAGTCACCATGGTGATGCCAAATAGTCCTGCTTGTCTGCTGCCTCACAGAACCACGGCTATTTATTTTTCTTCTAGATTCGCTCTCAAAATAAAAGGAAAGATGGATGTAAACATCTTGACGTTTGTTCTCCATGTATGATTGTGGAACAGAGCTGATGTTTGATTGCATGATGAAATTGTGTAAATGTAATATCTGACATCGTTTTTAATTTCTGCCTTTTCTTTCAATCTGTTTGTACGTCTTTTGTAATACATGATACTTACACTCTTTACCCATGCAGCCGGAAGAGTCCCAGGTAAACTTTTCAACTTTGACCTTTTGACTTTCACATCGTGTCTTCTCCCTCCCTTCTGTACCAAGTCCTTTTTTCAGCCACTCTTTACGTCCGTTTCTTTCCCTTTTCTTCTTTGATTTCCGAGTAGAAATAATCGTACTTCATCCTTTAAGGCTGGTTATATTCACACCACCTCCCTGAATGTTTCTGCCTAATGAACACAGACAGACAAAGCTGAGGAACATGCTGTGATTTATTTTCTGTGTTATACTTTGTGGCTGAGGGCTTTGATTAAAACGAACCTCGCTGACATATTCTCACAAAACAAATGACACATTAATCGCTTCTCATAATGCTAGATAGAAAGCCCCTGACATCTCTGTCCAGCATAGTTAATACCACACTGGTTATGTTTGCCTTCTTTGAATTGGCATTCCTCATATGAGGCACTTTTATATCTTAAACTAGCTGTTGTGGTAGCCAATATGAAGAAACGGATGGGTTTCGGGCATTTTTGAGTACTTACACTGCCTCTTATTATTTGTTTTAGAGAGCACTGAGGCTTATTACAAATATTTATATGTCCCAGAAATTGCTCATTTATTGCCTCTTCTTTGATTTCTGCTTTTTGCAGGGATGTTATAATTACCCCTGGAGTTACAGAAATGTACTTTGCCTAATTAACTGCATATCACATTAATGCTAAGCGTTTTGCATAGACAGATGCACCTTTTTCGCAGTGTTTCCACTTTTAAAAGAGTCATTTGTTTGTTCATTTTCTGTACCAAAGGCTTCCAGCCTATCATAAAGTAGAAATGTTGCAGCAGGGTGCCACCATTTATCCCCCTGTTTCTTTGTTTCTGTTCGTCTAATTGGGCAATTCAATTTTGAACACCATGTCTGTAAATTGTGAAAAGTCTGCACTGCAGTATGGATGGGTAATATGGATATAATAATATAAGAGAGTTTCTAAAAAGGAGTCCGCTGAGAGATGTTTATAGGTTGTAGAACCAGATAAGAATTTCAGATCATTTAGTTACTTAAATATCTGAAGTCTCAACAGTGTGGAGGAGATGAGCCATTGCACACGGAGAGCTGGACAGGGCCGTAGAAGGGCTTCAACCCAGGAGCACACCTGGTATCTGCACCTTTTTCTGAGGAGCAGTGTAACAACTATTGTGGCTACTCATGCTTCCCTTTTTTGGGGGGTTGACTTGTTTGTTGTTGCCTCTCCATTGCACCTGTTAGTTTCATTTATGCCAGAGTAAGTGAAATCACAGTGGTTTCTGCTTCCTTAATTTCCTTCACATCTTTGAGCAGTGTGTAAATTAATGCACACAATAAACCAAATGTTAGTGTCAGCTGCCACAATGCAAACAATATAGCATATCTGAAAAGATAACTTAATAATTGACTTTTATCCCATTTAATGGCCCCACCCACATTGCATTACCATAGAAATATGACAGGATGCTCGCTATCTCATGCGTCTCTCCATGCTCAGGACTTTGACTTTAATCCTGTACAAATTTGTGTTTTTAAAAAAGGCAAATCTCTATCAGTAAATTGTTAAGATCTTGTTTGAAAAAGTAGAGCACACTGGGCAATTTGTAATAATAGTGTCTATTTGCAGTATAGAGGAATGGGAGACACAGTTTCGTGCAGCGGATATCCTCACTGCTAATGCATATTCTAGTTGAAGGATGATCTGTTGAACGACTCACTGAAATGTGATGAATTTGCAGCAGCTTATAAACCAGTCCTTCTCTCTGTTTTATTCAGATCTCCTACACTTGAACATAAATAAAGTGCATCTGCTTTTCTTTTTTTACAGTCTTCTCTGTGTTTGACTTGTCCACTTGTTGATATTTATGTATTTATTTATTTTTTGTCTGTTCTCTGTTCCTCAGGAATCCTGGAATGGCCTTTCTGGACCAAGCTTGTGGTAGTGGCCATCGGATTTACAGGTGGACTGGTTTTCATGTACGTCCAGTGCAAAGTCTACATCCATCTATGGAGGAGACTCAAGGCGTATAACCGGGTCATATATGTGCAGAACCGTCCAGAGACATATAAAAAGTATCCACTGGAGAAGCCCCCCCTAATGGAGCCGAGTCTGGAGAACAAAGAGGCTCTGGCCCCCAATCTGTCAGACACAAACTCCTCCCAGTACACGGAAACAGAGGACTACAGTATGGAGGTGCTTCATGTCTGACACCAGAGTCTGTGCCATTGGTTGTCGTGCACATACTCCACACCCAAACAGGCCCGCAGAGGAGAGGAACAGTCGTGATCGGTCACTGAGGAACAACCGTACCCTTTTCCCTGAAGCCAGAATGACCCACGTCCTCCACTATCACCTTATACTCCCTAAACTCCATCCGCAAAGACAGAGAGGCCATGAGTTTCCCTCTGCCTACATTCCTCCTATCACACTGTATTCCTCCCTCCACCTGCATCTTTTCCTTTCCCAGAAACAGACTCTTTACACTGACTTCTGTAAATGTTGGAAAGGCCTGGTGCAAACCACTCTGTATACACACACACACACACACACACACACACACACACAGACTCTTTAATGTACACCTCCGGGAGAGCTGGACTGAAAAGAATGGACTTGCAAAAGGCTCTGGAGGTCTACACGTCCCCGATGTGTGGTTTGTTTGTGGGTTTTGATCAATCTGTTCTTTTTTTACCTCCTGTGAGTGTCGGGCTAAGCTGCCATGGATCAGTATGTAGCGCCATGCATCAAGATCTCTGGAACATTCCAGATACTGCCATCTCTGCGGTCTGTCAGCTCCACGCCGGTCTGGATCCAGCCAGACCTGGATCCGAAGATGCATCAAAGCACTTTTTATTTTTTAGTCTCCAAAGCACATCCCACCCCTTCTTCTCATTGCCCCCTCTTTTTTTTCTTGTATCTTGTACGTTGTAAATGGGGGAGAGCAAAAAAACTTTTCTTCAAGTGCAACATATGCTTAAAGATTAACCCTCCTGTGGATAACTAAAAGGATTTGGGGTTAAAAAAAAATGAGTCATTTGAACGACGTCAGTTGCATAACTTTGATTCAGATGATGGAAAATCTAGCCACTTGACTTCTGTACCCCATGGTGAACTTTCTGAAGGCTTTGAGAATGTAATCTTTTTAAAAATGATTTCAAAAAATTTATAAAATGTAAAAAAAAAAAAATCATCTTTTTACTGGTCACGGGAAATTGCGCTTTGTCTCGATCATAATGAGGCCCTTCGGGCATAAACAATGTCGCGCTTGTGTTTTGTTTTCTTTGTTTTGTTTTTTTTAAAATAGGTATTTACAGTTTTTAACATGTTAACTCGCTTGCTTAGCCATGGGACAAGCCTCGAGGAATCCACAGCTGCCTACTTTCAGTTTGTCCACTGAACTTTAACCAAAGGTTTTAACTACAAAAAAGAAACATGCTTTAGCTCCTACCCTGTTTTTTTTTGCACAGTTACAATCCAGCCACACTTAATTTTTTCACTTACTTAAGCAAGATTAAGGTGGAAGTGAGAAAGGTAAAGGTTTAGTGAGCATTTCAGATGAGTACTCGGTTTAAGTGTATTTTATTTGTTTTCGCTCTCTGCTTTAGTATTCGATCACAAGACAGCCAACTGTCACTTTTTTGCCATGTTTACTCCACAGTTAAGCATTAAGAATGACTTTAAAGACAGTGTAACTTTTCACTGTTGCACATTACGTTCAGAAAAACTCAGTTTCTTTTAATAAAATCAATGCAATACAGCCGCTTATTTATGGCTGTGACAGAGTCAAAGTGTATCATTGCTTTTTGAACAGCTGACTGTGTCGCCATCTGCTGGTGTTAAAGTGAAGGTGCAGCCTGAGATGGGCAGCGGTTGATTTCTCAGGTCGAAGTGGGTGGGGGGGGGACTCACAGTCATTGTAAGTGCGTTTGTCTATGTGAGAGCACAGCAATGCCAAGGCTCATGTTGAGCCTTACAGCCATTCCAGCAACACACACATTTTTCAAAAACTGTATTTGATACCAGTATACTGTCTGTGAACAATGATGGTCCAACAACGTACCTGACAATTACTGCTCAGCAGCAGCAATAAAGCGCTTTGGGGTTTTTTTTGTTTTGTGTTATTTGCATACTGTATTTATGTATATGCCCCACAGAGACTTGAGATCTTGAGTTTAATATAATTTTAATACATAAATGAGCCGAGGGACTTGTTGTGTGTCAAGTTGGATTAAGACCTAGTAATGAGAACCATCTCAGATTCTTCAGTACCCGGGAGGCTCAGTGCAATTAGACAGATTTTATTTTTTAAAAAGTGCAATTACCCTTTTGTTGATGTTCTGTTCTGCAATTATGTACCGGTGTTTAAAGTCCAGGATGTCCTCTGGATAGAAAATTACTTTCTTTATATTGTGTTGTATTTATTTTTAACTGAAAACAGCATATTTTTGTTCATTTACACACAAAAAAGACCCTTTCATTAGTGAATTTTGTGCAATTTACACTTAATTTTTCTTCCCAGACACTAATAGAAGAAAATTATTTTCAGCCCTTGTTTTGCATGTAGTCATTCAGATAATAGAGTTGCTCGAAGCTTCAGTCCGTTTTTGAATTTTTAAATTGATTGTGGTGTCTCGTTTTTAGTTGGGTAACCAAAGCATTACGTTTGAACATAAATTATTAATTTGGAGTTGGTGAGATGGATCATTAAAATGGGCTTTAGGTTGTTGTTGTCTTTTTACTTTCTCCCCATAGGAGCTGGCTCCTTCAATGAAATACGAGAGGAGTTTTGTTCTAGTGTGATGGCTTTGGATTGTTTCCTCTCTGAGCATCTTATCCTCTTTACCGTCTTTGCGTCACTCACCCTTTACGTCCATAATCCCACGGAGCAGAACATCAACTGAGACTCTTCTCAGCCTCACTATTTTAGGCTGTCTGTTGAATTTGATCATGTCTGGGACTAGTGTAACTTGCATAAAAGCTACATTTGTTTACTACTGACTGGACTTGAACATATATGACTGTTCCCCTGTCTTATACCATTCCGCAAGTCTGTCTGTGAATTTGCTTTGAAATAGTAACTGTAAAGAATTTGGTAAAATGTACTTTTTTGTTTTTATGAAAAAATGTTGATGTGCTTTCAGTTAATTTCCCACGTTTGAACAAAATATGTAGTAATTAAAAGAACAACCAAATAAAAAATTAAGTGACTTTTAAAACTTTGTGACTTTTAAAAAAACGAGCAGGGACAAATCCAGTCTTAATGGATAATTAAAAACATTTCAAAGGGCGTTGCGCTGTAGCACTTTAATTTATTTTCACCCAAATAAGCTGCAAATAATTTTGAAATCAGCTCTTTAGCCAGAAGCTGTAATGCCAGCTACAGAAACGTTCAGCTCGCCGCTCGATGAGCTTGCCCTAAAACTTTTCTATGACAGAAACACAAACTTCACATTCAGCATATAGCAGAAAACACGGTTTGTCACCTTCTCTCAACCTCTTAAGTAATTGTTATGCAAGGGCAAGATGAGGAAAGACACCATCGTTTGAGTGAACAAAGGCAACACAATATGTACCCATGCATCTTTAAAAAATAACTATCACAAAAACTTTTTTTTGTGATTGAAAAAGGTAAACTTTCACATATTCTATATTAATCACACACTAATTCTCACAAATTAAAATATTTAATTTCCAGCTTGCATAAATTACTATTCAAACAACATATCTTCGGCGGTGTAGTTCTACTGCCGATTGGTCAGTTGTACAGATGAAGATTGCCAGCACCCTCCAAAAGGAGAGCCACAGGGGGTCACTGCTGAAAAGGCTGGCTGCTCACAGACGCTGTATCAAAGCATGACAGCAGGAAGTTGACTGGACAGGGAAAAGGTGCACAAGCAGCAGCCTTGAGAGGATTATCAGGAGAAGTTGATTCAAGAATTTGGGAGAACTTCACAAGGATTGCAGGAGAGACATCCTTAGGAAAGGACCCACATCCGTAACATCAGGTCATTCCTGTCAGAAGCATCTTACATGAGCTAAGGAGAGAAGGAAATGAACTGCTGCTTATTTCAGATGAAGTACATTTTCTATCAAAGTACGAGAGACTGGGAGAAGACTGGAGAGGCACAAGTGTTTGAATTCTAGTGTGAACTTTCTGGAGTCTGTGATGATGCAAGGTGCTGGTTGTTACTGGTGGTTGGTCCACTGAGTTTCATCAAGTCCAAAGTCAACACAGGATCTTTTAGAGCTTCACGTTTCCTTTGGCTGAGAGGCTTTATGGAGATACTGATTTCATTTTCCGGCATGAAGCTTAGCATCTGCCCACAGTGCCAAAATGATTACCAGATGTTTTTTCTGACCATATTATTATTATTATTATTGTGTTTGATTGGCAAACCAGCTCACCTGACCTGAACTACAGAGAGAATTTGTGGGGTATAGTCGCAGTGAAGATGAGAAACACCGGACTCAAAAAGGAACACAAGCTAAAAGCTGCTATCAAACACACCTCAGCAATTTTGATTCATTTCAGGAAATATTCAAATAATTTGGGACACTGGATTTTTGACCATAAACAGCATAATTAAAGCATTTTTTTAATGTTCACTTTACGTATAATGAATGTAGATTATATGAAAGTTTATCTTCTTGAATTATTGCAATAAAAACCTTCAAAATATTCCGATTTTTCAAGATGCACTATTACAAGATTAAAAAGAAACCGCTTTCACAGAAATATCCCAATCATAGGTAACATAGAGCATATTTGGACAGGTAACATCATCAATCTTCAATCTGTATGTATAAGTATGAGCCTCTCCACTAAATTAGTCTTTTTTTGAATTCTCAAACTGCAACACTGTTTGGGATTTTGTCAGGAGACATGTTGTAGTATGGTAGCTTCTTTCCCTCGTTCCTCTTCTTGATGGAGCTGGTTATCTCTGCCAGCTCCTTCCTGAACTTTGCCATGGCATCCTTCACCGGCTTCTCTATGAAGTGCTCATCAGGATACATTCCCAGGTACAGCTGCAGAAAGAGTGAGACGTGATAGGTTATTTAGCCTGGAGGAACGCCACAAGGAAAAAGGAAGGAGAAAAGAAGTACATTCTGAAGCAGAGGAGAGCATCTTGGGAAATGAGAAATGTACCAAATGTATCAAACTTTTGATTGTTTTGGATGTGTGTCTGTGCTGAGATGTGAAAGTGTTCCAACGGTTGTCTGTGTGCTTTTCCTACTTCATTCTCTTGGTATTGGCTGAGGGCCCAGACGGCCCCCAGGTGCCAGCTGGAGCGCCCACGATCAGGAAGGCTCTCAACGATCAAATTCACATTTGCCAGACCTTTCTTGTTGGGTGGGGGTTGCCGCATGGTAGATGGAGCATTGGGTATCCAGGAACACCAGTCATACTACACAATGTACACAAAGATACAGTGTGTGTATTTACCCAAGTGCTGTACAACAGTACAAGTCTGATGTTAAAGAATAAATATTAAAGAATAAATATATATTCTTAGTACTTATTTTCTGATTATATTGTTTTATGTACTTTAATGATAAAGGCCTGTGAAGCAGGCCTTCAAAGCAGGGCCAGCTTTGAAGAATATAAAGAACCAGATTTAATACTGAGCAAAGTCTTTCAACTTCTTCTGCTTTCTAATTTTACTTTTAGAATTCATAAGAAAATACTGTGCC